AGACATCAAGACATTAAAAAGCCATCATCTGTCTGTGGCAGACCAGATGCCACTCCAGATATCCTCTGGAAGAATACATAACATTTGCCTTTTTCGAAGCAAGATTTTACAGGGATTTCAGCCTGAAATGTCTCTTCAACCAAGAGAAAGAGAAGACAGCTCAAACCTATTAAATCTGGTAAAAATATTGAGGCAGAGAGAGAAGAAACTATTTTTTTAACCAAATCCCAGATATGAAATTTTACAATTTCAAGTCATACAACTTAAAACAGCACCTCGGTTAAGAATCCCCCAGGCTGCTTGTCAAAACTATCCCATGGACCACCAGACCTTTACAACATATATAAAATAAGGTAGATGCATCTCAGCCCAAAACAAGATAGACATATTTCAACGACATGGAGCAGAGCAAAGAACCTAAGATAAAATAATACAAATGAGAACATTTAGGGACAGAGAATTGGATGTGTTTTAGTAATGGGGCGAGAGGGAAAATAACATGAGTAAGTACAAAAAAATCCCATACGGGGGAAACACATGGGAGTCAAGAGTGTGTAGCGCACAATACAGTGTATATGAGTTGCTGTGTGTGTGAGGCAATCTGTATGCTTTCACACAACAGGGCCTGGAAGAACCTCTGATTGAAAATATGAAAAACCTCTTCCAGTTTAGAAAGAAACCGCCGCATAGGGAAGCCACAGGGTCTCTGATTATTCAATATAAGACCGCTTCTTTTCGCCTGCTATTGGATAGCCCAGCAGGATATGCAGCCATAGAGGTCGGGGGAGAGGGGGGGGGCTTAATGATTCATCTTGCACCGATAGATTGTTCTGACTTTTATTATACATTTTTAACTAACTGAAATCCTCATCCATAACACTTGGATTTTTTTTTATAAAAAAAACTTGGCTTCATTGTATTTCATTTGGGAATTTCTTGGTGGTTGAAAAGGTGGCCTTCTCCCTAATGAAACCTTAGTGATATGAAGCTATTGCCAGCTCTGTATCACTTTGTCCTAATTCAATGCTCCTCGTCCATCCAGGTAGCCCCTCCAGATTCTCCCCAGTGTTTGGAAGACTCCCCAACACAGCAATTTGGAGAAATGAGAGGGATCCTCTGAACTGGCTCACTTAAGAACAGCCTCTACCTTGGAACAAGCTGTTAATTTAACTTAAATAAAAGGCTCAGTGAGTGTCATGTTAGGAGGGGGCATTCCTTAATAGCCTGAGAAACAGAACTGGGTATCCTAATGAGGATCTGAGCAATTTTAGTTCTTGAATATTTAAAATAAAAGAGCATTGGAACAAGGCAAGACTTGATAATGCGTTCATGCGAACGAGACAGACAGCTGCTTCTCAAATTTAAAATTAGGGTAGCCAAAGAGGCCAATTAAGGCACAAAGGAGAGAGGACTCATTTTGCCCCTGGATATTTATTTTGGTTTCAAGCTTACTTTCAGCCACACATGCACCAAACAGCACTGGTGGTGGACTTCTACCAGACTCACAAGTTTCTCATCTGAAAAGTAGGAGCAAGGAAGACTCCATAAGGTAGCCATGAAGGCAAGGAAGATAGAAAAGGCGAACCTTTAGATAACAAGCCTGTTTGGTAAATACGTTGGGGGTTGATTGCAAATCTGTCATAAAATCTATTATAAGGCTGTAAAAATCCTCAGCTAGAAGAATCCCTATCGAGGCCACACTTGGCCCCTTGATAGTAAAGGGAGATCTGAGAAGAGGGGACACCAAATGTGTCTGCCCAATGCTGCGATATTTAATAGCTTTTTAAATACAAGAGCTTGATGGCCTCAATAGTGGGGCAATGGAAGACGACAAGATGACAACCATGTCAGTCCACTAGCTTTCTCCTCCTTGTCCCTGTGTGTCTGTGTGTGTGTGTGTGTGTGTGTGTTTAAATCCAAGTCTAGGATAAAGAACTGCATAATTTTAGGCAATGAGGAGCACAATTTAATTATAAACATTTTAGCTAACCACTCTGGGACTAAGCCAATCTGTTTCTGGGGAAACACTAGTTTTGAAGTCTCCTTTCCAGTCAGCTGCCATTTAAGCTGAGCCAATTATCTTAGCCTTTTGACTTAGATGTGCCTGACCTAACTTGAATGTAGTTTTACTGCTTCTTTTGAAATCTCAGGCTTTGGCGCATATGCATTCACTCCCATCTTCATTTGGCAATGGCTGTGGAGCACAGCCTCTGATCTTGCCAACATCAAAAGCCTGGTTTGTAAGATAAGGTAATATTTGAAGTTCACTCAGCAGTATTCTCCCGGGTCCAAAGTAAATCCATAAATAAGATATAACCAAATAATAAGACGCTCCCTTTCAGCTCTCTTTCTTCTCTCCATTTCCTTCCCTCCAATCAAGACATGGAAATTGGAGGTGCTTTGTGGTCGGCACCAAAAGAGCACATGGGCAACCAAAACGTCGCCAGGATACTTGAGATTAACTGCAAATTCAGACACTTAGTGCATTTGTCTTCCCTTCTAGGAAAGCCACCAAACCCCAGTCCAGCTCACCCTGGCTTCATCTATCTCTACGTTCTCTCCCTCCATTTGCCTCCCACCCAAGAGACAACCCAAATGCACAAAAACCCCATAGGAGAAGGCACTGATGTCATGCCGCAGCATCAAAGGAAATCAATCTACCACAGAAGCAATGGATTTCTTTCCTTTTCCAATCCATTCCCCTAGCCCACCTCAGCCCGGACAGAAAATACCTTTTCCCCTTCTAGCTTTTGCTCAAGTTTCTCTTTTGTACACCCAGTGCAAGGAAAAGTCAAATGCAGAAAAACCTGGGCTGGATTTTGCAGCAGGAGCAGGTGAAGAAAAGTCGCTCCTGCGTGCTAGGTAACCATCCTGGATACTACTGAAATCCATGTTTTGTCTGTTCAACGCCTCCCCAGCCGTATAATCAAGCCAGCTTCCCTGGCTCCTCATGACCTGAAGGAGCTCTTGTTATGGCAGGAGCAAACAGGCCAGTTTTCTTTTATGCCTTGCTTTAGTGGGAGCTCCTATTCACTTGTTCAAGTCAATTTCAAAGCTGCCTGCTAACCTCTTATCCTCCCTAAGCTCCCCTAGATGAACAATAGGCTGAAAGGGATTCAGTTAAGCCTTTCATTCACCCACCCCCCCACCTACCCCCCCCCTTTCTCACTCAGGCCTCTCATCTGCAGAAGGCCCTACAATTGGCCTGGCTCTGAAGAGCGGGTTATAAGAATCCCAGCCGTAAGGAGCCATTGCTAGTCCAAAAATGACTAACTCCATGGATGCACAAGGATGGGCCCAAGACAGCTTGGTGATCCTCTTTAGGATTAGGCAAGGCCACTATAGCTCCATAAGAGAGAAGCAGTTTTCACGATTGTTTCCAGGAGATTCCGCCACAAAAATGGAGCCAATCTGTACCATTTAAGCCCAGGGAAAGTCCCCAGGGGTCATATACAGGTAGTCCTCAACTTACAACAGTTCATTTAGTGACCATTCAAAGTGACAACAGCACTGAAAAAAAAGTGATGTATGACCATCTTTCAGACTTACAACCGCTGCGGTATCCCCATGGTCACGTGATCAATATTCAGATGCTTGGCAACCATATTTATGAGGGTTGCAGTGTCCTGCGGGGTCATGCGATCGCCTTTTGTGACCTTCTGCCAAGCAAAGTCAATGGGGAGGCCAGTTTCACTTAACAACTGGGTTACTAACTTCACAACTGCAGTGATTCACTTAACAACTGTGCAGGAAAGGCTGTAAATGGGGCAACACTCACTTAACAAAGTTTCACTTAGCGACAACAATTTTGGACTCAGTTGTGGTCGTAAGCTGAGGGCTGCTTGTAAATGGTTGGCTTCCATGAAGAAGCAGGCACAACATCAAAACTGTCTGCCTACAAGTGCCACCCAAGGCATGTTTACTCTGCAGTCCATCTCAGGGGGGTTCTAGATTTAGTCCCAGGGCATCAGCTGACTCACGAAAGGAAGTAGAGAAACCCTTAATTACAGCAAAAACAATCAACTTTTTTAAAACTTCCTTTCTGCTTTCAGCAGCAAAATGTACCATGACCTTCTGATATCCTGGAATATTTCAATAATAAAGCACTGCCTTCATTCAGAAACAGGATAGAGAATAAACCTTGAGAAAAGGGTAGGGCAGAGAGAAAAGAACTACTGGTAATAATGCAATTTAACCACCAGGGATTATGTAGAGGCTGACCAAGAGAGTCAGCCTTTCCTTTCCCTTTATTTATTTTGTCATATTTATGTAGTGTATATCGGAGATGGTGACCCTTTGAGAGCTGTATGCAATGAAATTTCATTTTAATGTATGCTGATTAGTGTACATTCAAAGTGACAATAAAGTTATTATTCTATTCTATTCTATTCTTTTCTTTTCTTTTTCCTTCCTTTCTTTATTTTCTTTCTTTCTCTCTCTTCATTTCTTTCTTTCTTTCTTTCTTTCTTTCTTTCTTTCTTTCTCTTTCTCTTTCTCTTTCTCCACCAGTCAAGATTTTGCACAGAACACCATTCCCCTTCTAGAGAGAAACTAAAAGAAAACAGGCCAAACCTCTAATTCTAGTTCTAATATTGGCACAAGAGGTCACTAGCCTTTCAGATCAATTATACTTGGAAGCGCAGCAGTAGCCTCAGAGCACTTCCTAAAGGAAGCAATTTATTTTTGAACACGGTCATTATTTAATGATAGCACACACAGCCCTAAAAACACCTGAAACAAGACAGCAAATAAGGGACAACTTACAGACATGTTCCATGGGCCAGAAACAAACTGTGTAGGTTTTCCAGGAGAACAAGGTTATTTGTCTGAGAGTTTGGATAATAATCCCTCTCAAGCAATGAAAATGGTGGAGCTAAATCTTACTTTTGCAGCAAATACCGTTCTGTTCCAGTCATGTGCTCAGTTTTTAGTAGAAAGGACAGCCCAGAAAATTTTAACATTAGAAATTTCTTTCCAATACTGATGATGGAAATACTTACACACTGCTGTCGGTCATTGACATAGAATCATCAGTCAGAGCATCACTAGAAATTTCGCTGTCATTTGCACTAGTAGCAGGAGCAAAGACGTAGCCAGAATTCACATGATAAGGGTGAACTGGATCATTCCTCTTGAAGGATCTAGAAATGAACAAAAACAGAGAGCCCAGTTAGTCTTTGAACTCAGGAATTGCAAACTTTAGGAGACAAAAGAATAAGGTAGCAGTTACACAAGGCAAACTACAGACCTAACATTCCCAAAACTTGGAGAGGAAAAAAAAAACCTCCACTGATTCCATGGAATTCTTGAAAATGAGAAGTGTCTAAGACGGACCACAGTTTAAGCTTTCTTCCCACTGTTTTAAGCTTTCCCACATAATTTCATAGGTCGCCTGTCTCAATGACTTCACAAGATATTTTAAATTAGGGATAGAGAATCTGGAGCTCTCACAATGTTTTCGGATTTCATCTCTCCTTAACTCCAGCCACTAATTATGGGATTGTGGGAGTTTCAGTCCCAGACCTCTGAAGGGCACCAGGTTGCTTATCCATGACTTCAAGGCACCAACTATTGAACTGCTTGAAAATAAAACTCATCAAACTTCATTCCTTTTATCCCCCCAGCCTTTATTCCAAGGGGCTATCTTCAAGCATCTCCACTCTTAACTTATCCTCGCAATAAAAGCTCTGAGGTAGGTTAGTCATATTACTGAGCTTGGTTAACCCTTTGTGTTCCTGGTTTTAGAAACCATGTTGTACCAATTTACACACTTGCCCTGCTTCTAGGCCTTGCTATTTCAAAGATGATAGAAGTCTAGATCAGGGGTGTCCAACCTTGGCAACTTTAAGACCTGTGGACTTCAAGTGGCTGAGGAATTGCGGGAGTTGAAGTCCACAAAACTTAAAGGTGCAAAGATTGGACATCCCAGGTCTAGATAGAGTGGAAAAGCAGCCATCAATAAAAGTCACTCTAGCTGTCAACACCTTCACCTTTTTTTAAAGCATAACCCCATCTCTATCTACCCTGAAATAAGATCTTCTTGTGAGCAGTTGGACTTTGTCCTAGTTAAGCAGGCAGAGGCTGCATTCATGAATGCTAAGCCTGCTTAACTAGGACAAAGCCCAACTGCGCACAAGAAGATCTCAGTTTATTTCTCACATTTGCCATACCATGTGATAAACTGCTCTGCAATTTTGCTTTAGGGGTAAAAAATGCTATAACTCTATTGCACTTTGCAAAAACTGACACTTTCATAATAGACTAACAAACCTCTCCATGACATCTATGGCACTGATTCTCTGACCAGCCAGTGTTTGAAATTGTCCAAAAGGTTATCAAGCCATCTACCCTCAGCCTATCCCTTAACTACAGATAGTCCTCAACTTACGATAGCAATTGAGCCCAAACTTTCTGTTGTTAAGCAAAACAGTTGTTAAGTGAATTTTGCCCCATTTTACAACTTTTCTTGCCATAGATGTTAAGTGAGTCACTACAGTTGTTAATAACACAGTTGTGTTAAGTAATCTAGCTTCCCCCATTGACTTTGTTAGAGGTTTGCAAAATGTGATCACATGACCCCAAGACACTGCAACTGTCATTAATATGAAGCAGTTGCTTCATTCTGATCACATGACCATGGGTAAGTTGGAAAATGGTCGCAAGTCACTTTTTTTCAGTGCCGTTATAACTTTGAGCAGTCACTGAACAAACCTTTGTAAGTCAAGGACTACTTCTGTACAACATTTCCATTTTGGTCAGGCTCCCAGGTGTTTTCCACCAAATACTCAAAGGGAGCAGAAAGGGTTGATACTGGGCAAATGAGCATCACCATAAAGGAGATGAATTGACTTTCCCAAAAATTTTATCTAGGCCATAAACTCATAGAGTGACCTTAAAGACACAGGACTCCCTTCTGCCTCCAATTTATAATAGGATTTATTGTAAACCTACATTGAAGGAATTCTAGACAGACTAATGCAATGTACTTGGGATCAAGCCCTGTCACCTTGATAGAAAGGCTATAACTTCAAAATCAGCCAATGAGCATCTGATTTCCGAGGAGAGAGCAGAGGGCGTCTAATTAAAGGGAGGTCTAATGGGAAAGCAAGTGTCTGTTTTGAAAAGCAAATCAATCTTTCCTCATTGACCTAGTCTTGAGGAGAAATGCACAAAAAATAGGTTTTTTTATGTGTGATAAGCACCCCAAAAGATTTTTCTTGCTTCATTTTTTTATTCTGGGTCATCCTGCCATCTCTATTTCGGACAGTAACAGGATACAGATTGTCCTCGCCTTATGACCACAACTGAGCCCAAAATTTCCATTGCTAATCAAGATAATTGAGTTTTGCCCCATTGACTTTTCTTGACACAGTTAAGGGAATCACTGTAGTTGTTAAGTTGGTAACAAGGTTGTTAAATGAACCTAGCTTTATCATTGACTTGGCTTGTCAGAAGACTGCAAAAGGTGATCACATGACCCCGGGACACTGCAACCATCCAACCGAACAAATTTTGATCACATGACCATGAAGGATGCAGCGATGATCGTAAGTGTGAAAAATGGTCATAAGTCACTTTTTTCCAGTGTTATTGTAACTTTGAATGGTCACTAAACGAACGGTTGCAAATCAAGAATTACCGGCTCTGTCACACTAGTAGTTTGAGTGATTTATTTATTTGTCAAATTTATATGGCCGCCCATCTCACCCAAAGTGATTCTGGCTGAGATACAATAAAACTAATACATAGATAAATGTCACAAAACATTTGCAATCCCATTAAAACAATAAGGATGAATAAAAGAAGACTACAAGAGGGGAGATGTTTACATACGGGGTGACCAGCATTGGATGAACACCCTTCACACAGAGCTGAGAGCAAGATGGTGCACTGCGTACAAAAAATTGCAGAATTGGGAGAACTGCTTAGAGATGAAGGTCTCGGAAGATCTTACTCACTGACGGTACCACCTTTAACTCCTCAGTTCTTAAAAGCCTGGAATCCACACTGAGGTTTACCAGATGTTCCTTATTTTTAAGCAGTCACCCCTTAGTTCCAGATGCCTGTTCCATAAAATACTGAAAAATGAATGAAAGGGTATCCCCCACCCATCCCGGCTGTCAAATGTACACCACTTCCAGAACATTCTGCAGCACAGATCTCAGAGGGGCCAGACCACATCCCTCATCTGGAAGAAACTCAGCTTGGTAACTCTTTTTCATTGGAGAGAGCTCATTGCACACGTTGTTCAATGTTCAGAGTCGCTTTGCTCGCTCAGAAGGCAGGGTGGGTGGAGAAGAAATTCACTTCTTCAAGGCCAAGCAAGACATAAGAAGGGTGTCCCTATTTTTGATCACTTATAAAAACATCCCCTCAAGCCACTTGCAGAGAGTGGCAAAACTTGGTTTAAGTAAACAGCCTGGCATCTTTAACGAAAAACATCATTTCACCCTCTAATATTCTACTTCCTTTATTTCCATGGGTCCCCGATTGTCCACTTTCACCCTCTTTAGCTAGTCTTTGCTCACTTCTGTCACAAACTGCACATGTCCTCTCTCCTGTGTGTTGCATTCCTCCATTTCATCGGGGGAGGGGTAAGGGCAGGGGGACACCAACCTTTGTAAAGAAGGGGATGGGGAGAAACAGGCAGAGGGCCAAACCGCCTCCTCTTCAAGAAGTAATGGCCAAGAGTAGGGGTGAACTTTGGGGTCTCTATCTCAAGCTGACCTTTGCAGGAGACAGCACTGCCAAAGGAGGAGGGAGCTATTTCTGCACATCTGAGACTGAATTCATTCCCCAAATGCACCAAGATTTTTTTTTTTTAGTGGGAAACTCAAGATCGCCAAAAGATGAGGAAGGAAGGAAGGAAGGAAGGAAGGAAGGAAGGAAGGAAGGAAGGAAGGAAGGAAGGAAGGAAGGAAGGAAGGAAGGAAGGAAGGAAGGAAGGAAGGAATATACTAAGCATGACAAATCTCCGGAGAAGAGTCTGATTTTTTTTTTGTTTCTAACAGAATTTTTTTTTACTGGGTAGATGGGAAGGAATGGCAATTCTGCCCCTAAAAACCAAAGCCAATTCTCCTGATAAGGCATCTGTGCTTCTGAAATTTCAACTTTCAGTACACTGTTAATGGCTTTATTTTTTTTATTTTTTAGGAAAGGGGGCAATTGAAGCCTTTTTACCTTTTATTACTCTCTTTGGAACTGTTTCATGTCTTGTTTTAACACAACGCAGGCCCATCAGAGCCTGTTGTTGTAAAGTATCTGGTTTCAAGATGCTCACCATCTGTATAGAACCAACCAGGCTCTTTCAAAGGAGCCTATATAGGCCTTTCTTTTCAAGCACTTGCAATGTGAAACATGCCAGCACAGCAACCGCTGGAAGTTATGTTTACAACACATCCCTATAGGAGGGTTAAGAAGAGCCTCTTCAGTAGTGTAAGCAGTCACTATGGAAAGTTCATCATTTTCGACAAGAGCTTCAAAACCATTGCTTTGAAGTTCAACAGGAATGGTAAGCACCATCAAAGAGATTTATACATTCCTGGGACATTTAGCTTACAACTTTTTTTCAGCACTTCAACAAAATGGATGGAGAGGTCTTCACACAGAATTATAAAATTAAAACAGGTGGGGGGGAAAAAATCCAAGATTTGTTCTTACAAACCTAACATACAATGAATAAACCAATTAAAGATGGTTTCATAGTCACTTTGAAAAACAGGGGGAAAAGATCCTGACCACACTAAAACCTTAACTGCAACCAAATGTCATTAAGCTATCTTGCAACTCCTCTGTGTAGGGATCTCCATCCTATCTTTCTTCAAGGCCACCAAAAGTTGCATCACTTTAAGGCTGAATGGTGGGAAATATTTTCAAGGAACAGGTAGTAGCTTCTCTCCATCATCAAGGAGGACATTAATTGAATAACAAAATTGGGAGGAACCTTGGAGGTCTTCTAGTCCAACTTCCTGTTCAAGCAGGAAACCCTGTACCATTCTAGACGAGTGGTTGTCCAGTCTCTTCTTAAAAGCCTCCAGTGATGGAGCACTCATAACTTCTGAAGGCACGCTGCTCCATTGGTTAATTGTTCCCACTATTAGGAAATTTCTCCTTAGTTCTAAGTTGCTTCTCTCCTTGATTAGTTCCCATCCATTGTTTCTTTTCTTGCCTTTTGGTGCTTTGGAAAATAGGTTGCCCCCCTTTTCTTCGTGGCAGCCCCTCAAATTTGGAACACTGCTATCATGTCACCCCTAATCCTTTTCACTAGACTAAACATATCCAATTCCTGCAACCATTCTTCATATGTTTTATCCTCCAGCCCCCCTAATCATCTTTGTTACTCTTTTTTGCACTCTTTCTAGAGTGCATAAAAGAGATAGAACAGAGAACATGGAACATAAACTATTTCTTGCCTTGACCAAGACACCTTCCATGTCCATAGTACATGTACTTCCATGTACTAAGCTACAAAGGGATGTGAACTGCAGAGGAAACTCAAGGGATGAATCCCTTCAGTGTTTATGGTGACAATAAAAACTCCTTTTCTTGTCCATTTTTTTCCCTTTCAATTTTAACTTCCTGTTTTATACAAAGCTTCAAACTTTCATTTTCAGCCCAAGTGTAAAGTAGCCAATTTTCAATTCACAGTGATATATAGATTGGGGAATGGGAAAGCAAAATGGTGTCTAATTGATGACACATGAGTTTTCATGTGATAAACTTGAAAACCCAAACTTATGGCATGCTTTGTCAAGAAACTGCTAAATCAGACTGTGAAAATTGGTGTGTCCTTCTAGGTAGAGGCATGTATGATCATTTAATGCTGGTAGTATTTATAACTTTATAGGAAACTGGTATATAACTTGCCTCCTCTTCTCCAAAAAATAATGAGAAGAAGGCATAGATCCACATGCAAGGCCTTGTCATGGTGTCATTTAACTGTGGATACCAGTTAGCTTCAGTTAATACTTATTTCACATACAATAAGTACCAATCAGCAGCTCTTTTGATCAATGAAGACCTATCTGCCAACATAGACAATTTTTTTCAGTTCCATTGTATGGAGCTTGAAGTAACAAATCTCACAAGTGGCAAGTTCACACACCAGAGAGCAGCATCATGCATGTGTGAAGAGTTATCTGGACCAGCCCTGAAATAGCTTTCTTGCCTCAAAAGTCATTAACCATATGTGTGTGTGTACGTGCATGTTTATATGTTTAACAAATCAGATAAGGATGAGTGTTCTGTGTGAATTATGCATTACAGTTGTAGGCTAGTTGCAGAAAAAAAAGGCTATACACCAAATCTCCATAATTATCTGTTAAACTGATGCATTAGCAGAAGGTAGATTACATATATACACTATAGTAGCAATTCTTTTACCAGGTGTGTGGGGGGGGGGGGAACCAGGATTTTTAGCACTGGTTAAAGTAGAATAATAATAAAATTTGATGACCTGTAGATTAAAAGAAGTTTGAACTTGCTTCCTAAGGCAATATGTAACTGTAAGAGCCCAGTCTAGAAACTGCTACCGGAGCTAACACTTCCAACAGTCAATGTACTCAAAAATTCTTACCAAGGTCTAGGTACACAGTCACAAGTAAATCCTATTTCAATTTCATAGCAGAAAAAAATTAGTTTGAGAATGGATGGGCTGGAATGCCCTAAGATCACACACTAAGCCTGGGGTAGTGACAAGACTAGAACTCAAGTTCAAATCCAACTGTTTAGTCATGCAGGGAAGACAGACCCCAAACCCTGTTCCACGCCTCTTTGAAGAGGATCATGCAAACCATGATTCCCTATAAAATACCATCAACATATTCACGATAAGATGTGGGTTCAAATAAAATTTGGTCAACCATGAAAAAAACAATCCTATTCTAGACTCATCAAAGCAATAGAATATTGAAATCTATTATTTCTGGAGTTCCCGTGGCAGAAAATGTCCTTTATAGTCTTTACCTTAACCCAAGAAAAACAAATATATCTTGCATAAGTAATCATTATCTCTACGTTCAAGTTCACTGTCACAACAAATGTGAACTGCTGCAAAGCTGACTCCGTAAGAAAAAACTTGAGTCTTCCGACAGAAGAATCCCTTTTACAGATAGAGATTATAGCGCACATTCCCATCAAACAGATGAAACAAATATGTCATACATGGATGTCATGTACACAGCCAACAACTGTAAGCCGCTCCTTATACATCTGGAGCTGTTCCAGATTTATACCGCTGTAAGTGAAAGCTGGATTGGAATCAGCTGCCTTGCCAATCCCTATCCCTAGGAAAGACCACATAGTCCCTTCGCTAAAAAGTCAAGCAAAAAAACGGATGCAGTTCAGGATCTTTCCTCTTAGAGGCAGGCCACGGTCGGTACAAGCTGAAAAAAGAGGAGATGCCTGAAATCCTTTGATGTCCATGAATCACAGAAACACTCACAAAATTCCTGTAAACCAGATGTCAAATACTTACCAGATTTAGAAACTCCCAAAGCAAGACAGCATACAGAAAGAGAGAGAGAATGTGTACGCGCATGAGAGAGAGATGGGGGAGAGAGAGATGGGAGAGAGAGAGAGAGAGAGAGAGAGAGAGAGAGAGAGAGAGAGAGAGAGAGAGAGAGAGAGAGAGAGAGAGAGAGAGAGAGAGAGAGCTTCTGCTCTACAGTTTCATATGCAACCAATTCTGATTTATGAAGGCAAAAGGGGGGGGAATAAGAATAAGATCATAGAAGAACATGCAACTCTGCATGATGGAGAGAGAATATGATGATGTTGCCACTTGGTGATGAACAAACTATTCTTGCCCCACTTTCAGCAGCCAATACAACTAAAGGAAAGCACATTCTCTTGGGATTACCAAAGACAATGTTGAAATGGGCAAAAAAAAAGCAACATTCAAATGAAGACTGCATGCCATTCATGTGGGGAAAGCTCCAGAATACAAGCACAATCCTTAAAAAAAAAATCCTAGGTTGAAATCCTGACTTCTCCCTTTCCAAGTAGAAAACTGTACATGAATTCTGGAAGAAGAGCTGCTATTAGGTGAATAGACAAGTAGCAAACTCAAAGGACCAACATTTTAAGTTGGTATCAAGCAGCTTCCTTTGAACCTGGAGCACACAGCTCATCTCTTGACAAGAAGACTCTTGCCGTTACTAATATCCTGTACCTGAAGCCATCCCTTTAGCTAACCTTGTTTTGCTTCGCTTAAGAAATCCAATTTATTCAGCTAATATTCATTGATCAAGCTACTACCTGATATTCCTTATGAAAGTACCTGTGTGCAGTCATCATCTTCTTGAAGTCACTTGGTTCAGTTTTACAGGTTACCTCAATAATATGGATTTTCTCATTCCATCATCACATAATTGCTCTCCCATTTTCTACATGTAATCCACATATTTCAACACCAGCTAGGGATGAAGTTGGCAAACTAGTATTTCATTACTCATTCACATGCCTAGATGGTGCTCTTCCCAGTTCCTCTTAATGTGGTTTAAAGTGGTAACAATTAATGCATGTCTCAAAGAGCAAGAGTCCTTTGAAGTTCTTTTTTGATGTCTCAAAGAGGTTTAGAACTGGTGGGTCTTAAGAACCACAACGTACTCCTTTTTTGTATTAGGGGGAAAGGCAGCCCTCCCCTCCAGCCAGAACTAAATGCCAAAATTGGGAAGCTTCAAAAATAAAGAGTCTCTTTGCCAAATTTGACTTAAACCAGGAACACAACATTCATCTACACACTCATTTTGCAATACACCATAATACCTCACACCTTCCCATAATAAATTGAATCTGTTGCTCTTACCTAAACCCATTTTCCACAGTTTCTGTAGCTCGGACACTGGCTGTGGCCCTCAAGGTCTTACTGGACAGTCCCAGTATGGAGGGCAAAAGTTTGTTTTTAAGGTCAGCGCAGCTCCATTCCTCTTCTTCATTCAAGGTAGGGAGATAGCCACAATCCACTTTCAAGCTGCCCAGTCCATTGCTGTTAATGTAAGCAGGATTTTCTCCCCCAGTCCTTACATATTCGAGGTATATATCAGAAGTCAAAAACATCTGGTAAGCATTTTCCTCCATCACAGTCTGAATCTCAGTCTGTGCCTGATCAAACATTACAGAATCGATCTGCTGCTTCTTGATATTATCCCGTATGTAGGTCTTTGTGGCAGGCTTGAGTTGCTTGGAAACAATGCTATTATTCTCAATGTACCTTTTGTAGATAGCTTTGGCGACTCTTAAAGTTTTGGCATCCTTAAGGTCCATCTGCCTGAAGCCATTGCAGGCAAACCAAAAGTCTAAAGTATCCACACATTTCTCCCTTTCCAGGAAGGTCCGAAAGAGATAAGCACCATCTTGATCTCCTAGTAAAGAATGCAAGGATTTGGTCCATCGGGCGAGAGGAGAGTCTGGAGATGCACTGCCTTCTGGCTCCCCAAGACCATCTTCATTCCTCCTGGGTGTGGAAGAAACAGACATGGCCTTGAAGCTTTGGTTTTTTAGGGCAAAGAAACTGGCAGCCAGATGGCATGGTGTCTCTCCTTCTTCCCCTGGTACAGGGGGGCGTGGGGCATCTTCCCTGAAGCTGCTGCTGGGGTCTGGGAGGTGAGTCAGCAATGCAGCGCTGCTCATGGTTCCTGGGAGTTCCTTCTGATAGAGCTTTTTTTTTCTTTTCTTCCTTCCCCTTTTTAAGTTCCTCAGCAATCTGTGTGCCTCTCTCTCTCTTTTCTTTCTCAAGTCAGCAGGGGATCCTCAGAGTCTTCTCTCTTAAAGAAAAAAAAAGGGGGGGGGAGAAGTATTGATCTAATCAAAACCAGATCCAACCAACATCAAAGACAAAAAGTAAACAGGCTTTTCAACTCTTCACATTAAAATAAAAAGGCAACCACAGCTATCTACAGCACTAATCAAAAGTATCAAATACGCTTTTTCAAAGAGAAAGACTGAACTCTGGGCACACTTTTAACTCTCCTATGCAGAGAAGCCCGGGTGGGGTGAGGGGTTGGAAACAAAAACAAGAAAAGAACTTTTCCTTATTGCACTGCCTATAAAGCCTCAACACGCACAAAGAAAAACATCATGAGGGGTTTTTATTATTATTATTATTATTATTATTATTCCCCTCCTACTTATGATAACATCTGAGGAGTCCCAGGAATAATCTTGGATCCCCGTGCCGTTCAACCCATTTTGCAGCAAAAAAAAAAAAAAAAAAAACATTCCTTCAGCTTTTGCTTTTCCCTCCCTCTCCTTTGCTAGATAACTCACGGCAAAAGAACAAAACGTGCTTTTCCTCAGCATCTGGTTTCCATTTCACTCTCTCTCTCTCTCTCTCTCTCTCCCCCCCCCAAACCTTTCAACTCCTGAAACGTTTAGATTAGGATCGCCAGAAACCCTCCTAAGCAAGCACAATGCTGGATGCTCCTCTGAACTGTACCTAGTCCCCGAGAAAAGGTCGAAAAGAAGCTGGAAAGACAAAAGACAGACTTGACTAGCCTCGAGTTGACAACGAAGACTTTCTTACCGAATTGCTGACGGCCTTTGAAAAGAGCCGCAGCTTGGTTCAAGTATATTGTTGACATGCAATTCCTTCCCCCCCCCACCCCCATTGCTACCTTTATCGTGCATCTGTCCCCTTTTCATGCGACAAAGCACCATATTTTTTTTAACACAATTCAACTCTGCGGGGCGAGAAGGCTGCGCTCTATTTCTTCAGCAAAGAATGGGCATCCAAAGTTCTTTCCCAGCTCACCATAACTCCCCCATCCAATCCAGGAGAGAAGAGAGAAGAGAGAAGAGAGGAGAGAGAGAGAGAGAGAGAGAGAGAGAGAGAGAGAGAGAGAGAGAGAGAGAGAGAGAGAGAGAGAGAGAGAGAGAGAGAGAGAGAGAGAGAGAGAGAGAGAGAGAAGCGCTGCTGTTCCGTCAAACATGCAAAGAGCTGCAAAAACTCCACGCCAGTAAATGAGCAACCGAATGAATGCCAGCCTTTCCACCAACCCTCTTCCACCCATAGCCTAGAGCACATAAACACATAAAAGTTCCCTGTATGGGTTTTCCTGCTCGCCTCAACTTTTCTTAAGAAAGTTCAAAAGCTGCTTCAAAGGGAAGGCGGGGGAGGGGGGAGGAGGAGGAGGAGGAGGAGGATGTCCTGGAAGATACCTGAAGAAGAGTAGACATTCCAGACCAGGCGGTTCGAATCCTCAAGCATTTCCCCACTTAGACAAGCCCTCCATCAAAGAGGCGGTGGGCATGAAGGCGATTGTTTAAAACACAAATTAAATAGATTTGGAGGAGGGGGAGGAGGGGGAGGGGGAGGAGGAGGAGGAGACGACACTGCAGCCCATACCCCCAGAGAATCATCCCGCAGAGGGAGGGAAACATTAAAGAAAGAAGAGGAAAAATATCCAGAAATGGCGACTGATGGGAAGGTGGGGAGGGAGGGGGGATAAGCAGATCTGCTGAGATATCTCAGGAACTGGGGGGGGGGGGGAGAGAAGGGGAAAGAGAGAGAGAGAAAGGAATGAGAGAACAGGAAAACCTTCCCCGACCGCCTTCTCCAAGTCCTGTGTAACAACTGACCCCAAAGTCAGCACGCTGCGCCTCTTTGGAGTTCACCGAGGGTGCTGACAGAAGTGGGAGGGGTGTACGCGAAGAGGTGCGGGAGGAGGGACTGGCAGCCAAGGCATCCTTCGCCTACCTACCGACCGACCGAAGCCATCCTGGGTCTCTACCTCCTTTCCAAAGTCACAAAACCTTGCTGGAAAACAAAGGCAAAACTCCTCCCTACTTTACCGGGATGTTTATGGGGGGGGGGAGGTCTGTGAAAAGACCCTTTCCTTCCCCAGCAGATGTCTCCCCCTTAAACACTCTCTCTCTCTCTCTCTCTCTCTCTCTTTCACTCACTCACACACACACACACACACACACACAGAGCCCAGTGGCTGTTGTGGTTCGTACAAACCCAGCTCTCTCTTTTTTTCCCCCCCTAGGTCTGCTTACTCATAACGAACGCGCAAACAGCTCCTCTGAACAACTTCAAAGCTCCAGCCAAGAAAACATCAAAGCAACGGAGGGAGGGAGGGGGAGGGGCGAAGGAATTACACACATTCTTTCGCAACTTACCATTGATCCCGGAGTTGGTGGGGGGGGGCTCTTTCTCCCGCCCCCTCCGTTAAATCGGGCGCCCGGCACTTCCTTCCAAACAACCCCCCCCTCCTCTCCTCTCCTCTCCTCTCCCCCCCCCCNCCTCCCTGAGCCCTTCTCATAGGGAATAGGAGAAAAGTAATCCGCAACGCTGCGCTGATTCCTCTCTACCACCCACCTCCTCACAAGCTTCGCAACAGCATCTGAGAGTAAAAAAAAAAAAAAAAAAAGGGGGGGGGGAGCGGGGAGGGCTCGTGGGGACTAGGAGGTTGCCCAAAATATATCCGCGGAAAGAGAGCTATAGAGTTGAGGGGATTCTCTCCTTCCTTCTTTTTTTTTAACCTAAAACAGCGGGGAGGGGGGGGGCGAAAATCAAAAGACCTGACCCCCTCCCCCACTTCTCCTGACACCCCCCCCGCCACCCGCCACCCCCCCCTTCTTTCAACCCAGGTCCTGTTTCAAGCAGTCATTCCTTGCACCAAATGTCCTCCGGGCTATTTCAACAAACACTGAGCTGTGGGTTTAACTGTGCACATCAAAGTGAACAACCGAGAGGACGGTCCTGCAAGGGACATAAGCGTCTTTTCGGCAACACCTTCCCCCCCCCCTTTTTTTTTTTTTTTTTGAAAGAAAAACGGGGTGGGGGGGGAAACAAGCCGAAATAAAGGGCCACAGTTCTTCAGATGGCAGCATTGGCAAAGACGCCGGCCTAAGAATCGGGCGTTAAACCCGGACTAAAGAGCTAATCGTGAGGGGGTTTTTTTTCCCCCTCCCCGTGGAGACGTGGGGTTTTTGGTGGGTACGTTCGTAGCCGAAGCTTTGAGACTCCGATTATTATTATTATTATTGCCTCTCGAGTTGTTACTAAGTTGCCAGGACCTTATCAAAGGGAAGCAATCTCTAGCCAACTCCCCCAGGCTTTGGAACGTCAGAAGTAAGTGATCCTGCCGCCCCAATCGTATTATGCCTGCAATTCTCTTCATGCTGCAGGAACCTTAAAGGGACAGGCAAGCATTCCCTCCTCCCGCTTCTGCCAGCTCCACTCCCTGCCTTTAACCCTTTTATTGCCCAATCAACTCAACCCTTTCTATCCAAACTCTCCTTCCTCCCCCCCCCTTCCCCCATGAGATAAAGATCAATTGCTGTTTGAACTCTCTTCCTTTTCTTTCACCTACAATGCCCAGCAATGGCTGTATTGCTCGTTTGCAGAGGAGGGAGGTGGGGGGGGGGGAGATGGCCAATTCTCAAAGAGGGAGGCTGCAATCATTTTTTGCAATATAGCCCCCCACAGCCCCTCCTTCTCCTCTTCCTCCTCCTCCTGGCTTCATCTTAGAAAGAAAATAATCTTTTTCCTTTTATTTCTTTTTATTCTGCATCACAACTAAACCCCAGTGCTGCCTCCTTCTCCTCTTCCTCCTCCTCTTCTTGGGTTCATCTTAAAAAGTCCTTTCCTTTTATTTCCTTTTATTCTGCATCCCAACTAAACAATATCTGATTGTAATAGAACTGGCACACCAACAAAACTCTGTTTAACCCACCCCCCCCATATGTTAAATATTAAACAGACACTGAATGCTTTAGAAAGGGCTTTAGACAAAAGGTTCTAATTAGGGACTGGATCTGCACTTTTTAAGCCAATCCACCTCCTTACATAGTCTAGATCTGTTGTCTTTTAGGGGTTTTTAACTGTTTTGTGGGCCGTCCCAGAAAACAGAAACCCAAAGCTTCTGAACTTCATGTGAAGTTCCAGTTCCACAATGTGTATCAAGTCATGATTCCAATCTATTCCATTCTAAAAGTATTCATACCTTTATGATACACACACACACACACACACACACACACACACACAGAGAGAGAGAGAGAGAGAGAGAGAGAGAGAGAGAGAGAGAGAGAGAGAGAGAGAGAGAGAGAGAGAGTTTTAATCTATGTGTAAATTTATGGAATTTCACTTTTTAACTGCATTTAAGAAATAAGAATAATCAGCATGAATAAGATTTGGCAATAAATGTATTTTTCTCAGTAAGGAAGACTGTCTTTAATCACATTATAATTAACTTTTATCACCCAGCACAGAGACCCCTGCTCATTGTGCTAAAAGCTGGACATATACAGATGACACTACATTTTTCTTTTCCTTTTTTAATGTGCATATTTAGAAGAATGCAGCTTAAGCCTTGTTTATTCTCACAAGCGCAAACTGAATTATACCATGGGTGCAAAGATGACCCTTTTAGAGCACTAAAGGAGCAGTGCAGTCATTTCTTTTTTGTTCAAGTGTTGTTGATCAACATTGAAATTGCAAGCATCTTTATGAGTTCCTTGCCTGGTCCTCTTTATGCTTTCCCCAACTTTTTCATCCCAAAGCATCCTTCCTTGCTATTTACTTTGCAGAAATTGTTCTCTCAAACTAAGATCCAGATTTAATTTCCTGATAACTCAACAAACAGCTTGAAGGAGAAATAAGTGGAATGCAAACTTTAATTAGATACTGAGTATCTCGGAGAA